TATGTAAAAAATAAAACTGAGACAGGCCAAGTAGTTAATTTGACTAAGGTCATGTAACTAATAAGTGGTAGAATTTGGATTTTAATCTAGCTGAGTGGTTTTAAAGAACACTACTGTTATTTTAACAGTCATTAAATGAGAATGTAGGATAACTTATAAATGGCCCTTTTGCTTTTTTTAAAGTTAGAATTCAGTATTTGTCTTCTAAAGAAAGGTAAAGCAAATAGTTGGAAAGTTTTATTTGAAAATAAAAGTAAACCTGTTTCTTAAGGTTGTATTTCTTCATTAAATCAAATTACCTAAGAATATTGCTAGTCAGTACTTGATTACTTACTAATATGGACTTAGTCTTAGAATGGCTTCCCCAGAAAGCAAAGCCTGAAACAAAGGCTTCATCCAGTACAAGTGTTTGATAGAAAGGTGATTTAGGTGCAGGGGCACCAAGCTGGGTACAAGATAAGGTTAGTCATAGAGGCCAGTTATATGTGAGGTGGTGAGTGAACTATCACAGAACCTTAGGAGGATTTGAGGGAAAGGAAGGAAAGGGGGGAAGGAAACGTCTCTTCACTATGTGAGTGCCAGTGCCTTTCTGCAGTTAGTCAATAGAGAAGCCAGAGGAGGGAGAAAAGCAAGTGCGGTGTTGCAGTTGGTTGGAGCCCTTGCAGAATTGGTCACTTGTTTGAAGTGGATGGGATATAAAGGTGAGGCCAAGTGACCAGTGGTTCACAAGAAGGGTCCTATGCAGAGTTTCTCTGAAAGTTTTTTATATTAGAAGAGCCTGCTTTTCACTTTGCATACTTGTTATATTTTCACTTTGACTTTTAGGTCCATGTCTAGGGAATATAGTATTGAGATAAAGTACAAAAGAAGTAAGTAAACACGACTCTTAAGAGACTAATGTAATTTATAAGCTACTCTTCCGAAAGGGAATCATTCAATCCTCGGAATTAGTGAAGCTACAGACATTGGAGAAAAAAACATCATGTTAGAATATTTTTGATCTGTGATCAGAGAAATGAGCTTCAAAGCCAACCATTTAAAAATACATACTGTTCCTTTTTAATGTGATTAAATTGTTTTTTCACATTTACAGAAAAAAAGATTAAAGATGTAAATACAGAAGATGAACAGTGGTTTTTAAGGCCTATGCCTTTGAATATTCTAATAACTGAACTGTCAAGTTGCTGATTTCTACAAAAAGTTAATTTTTTGACTAATCATCTTCAGATGCCGTAGAAAACAAGTGATGCTATGTGTCTACCTAGGGATATACCCATTGTGTAAGTTACTTTCTAAATTAAGAGTGAAATATTTAAAGTTATAAACATACCTTTATAATTTTATAAGATGTTTACAAATCGGGGGCCAAAAATGGAGACCATAAACCAGAGGCACAGACACGAATTGACAGTAAGGCTGTGTTCCATGAGAAGGGAAAGATGGATGGGCAGACATGGTTCCTAGCCTCAAGCTCAGCTGTCTGTCTTAAATGTGGAAGTTGGGTACATGCAAGGTTGGGAGCTGGGACACATGTAGAGTCAGGAGCACCCCAGTAAAACAACAATAGCAAAAATTTCCTGTAGATAAAAGCCTCTCCTGGCCTGGGTTCCAGATTCTTAAAGGGGAAAATAAACCACTGAGAATGTTATCACATTTGTTTAGGTGTGAGGCCCAGGAATCTACATACTATGATGAAAAGTGGTTCCAAGCTGGTAAGACACTTGGGTCACCTGGTGGAAGCAAATAGAAAGCCACTGGAGAGACAAGTTTACTTTTAACATAAAACCATTTGACTTGAGTAGCTCAAATACGGATTTTTTTTCCCCTCTCATTAAGAAATCTGGAAGCAAGCAGCTGCTGGCAGTTGTAGTGTTTGATGTCAGGACAAGCATCCTTGTGGCTTTCCTGGCATTTCTCGTCACCTTATGGGCACAACACATCCATAAGAAGCAGTACCAGATATGTATCTCCTTTTATTAGGAAACCAGGAGGGCTTCCAGAAACTCCCTAAGTAACCTACTTTCAACTTAGTGGCTAGAATTGAGTCAACATGGCCATGTCTAGCTGCAAAAGACTAGGAAAATATGGAAGACCATTGCCATAGTTGTCTTAACCTAATTATGACCCGCCATTTGGGGCTGGGCACACTGCCTATCCTATAAATTTGGCAAGGAAGGAAAGGGAGTGTTTGGCACACCAAACCTTAGAATTTTCAGATAAAGCCACACTGAACATCAGCTCACAAACCAAAACGATACAAGGAAACCAAGGGCAAAGAAGTATAGTAGACACAATAAAGCAAGAGTTAAAATGGACAGGCTCTAAATGCTTCAAAAGATTAAAATACTAAAAAAAGCTTAACTGCTCAACTGGTATCTTGATTCTAGCTGCTTCTCTAACTGGTTTTGTCTTCAATCCCTACTTTGAGCATGTAAAAACCACTCTCTTGAATCTCGAAGGCACAGGAAGTCCACTATAATCTGCCTGTATTCATCCTTTCCTACACTAATCTCTTCAGTGCCCATGCTGATTTCTGCCTCTGATGTGACATGTATTCTTTACATGCATCATCATTTATCAATATAGGTGCTTCTTTTCCTGGGAGCTACCTCCATGTAGCCTTTTCTGACTCTCCAACCCAGAACTATTTGTCTGAACTCTTGTGTGAATGTTCATAATACAACAGGATTAAGGGCTTGACACATATCTAAATTTAGTTAATATGAAATTATAGAACTGTAGTTACCCTGACTTCCTGGTTTCTGTGGTAAGTCATTCCTTCAATACAGTAGGCAAACTACATGCTAGACACCAAACTAAACACTGAATTACAAGCAAGCGACGTGGGACTAGACTTTAAAATGCTAAAAAAAAAAAAAAATGATTTCTAAACAGTTGACAAGTACAAAGTATAAAATTCAAAGAATAATGAGTGTGTGTGTGTATATATATATATGCCTCCTCTTTCCTATTCTTTAGCCAGGCTATTCTCGAAAGCATTGTTTCTTGAGTATCATTTTGTGTATTTTCACATAAGTGGTGGTGTATGTATAAATTGCTGCATCATGCTTTTGTGCTTGATTTTTTCCAATCAGGACAAACTGAGCAGTCTCATTCTTTTAATAACATCTGCATTGATGTGTATATGAATTGGTAATACTGATTTTATAAAAAACCTTTTTTCCTTACGTTAGCAACTGTAAGACCTTTTCTATTGCTATATAAAATTTTAAGAAACATCTAAATCCATGTTTTAAAAATTCATGTATATAAAAATTACAATTAATGCACATCCTGTCATCAGCAATAAATAGAACCGTGCTCTTAATATATCACAAGTATTTTCTTTAGGACAGAATACAAAATCAGTAAGTAAAAATAGTGTTTGGCTTATTTTATTCAATATATTTGAAATAATCATTCACAAATTTAACCTATCCTTAAAAATAGGCACTAATTTCAGTATAATTCCATTTATGTACAAAACAAACCTTTTACATATTCACACTTAGGTAAGTGCACAGAAAGAAAAGCACGAAAGGCTATATATTAAATGCAAACACTGGTAACCTTCGGGAGAGTAATGTGAAGGGAGATCATAACCTTTTATTTCATGTATTTATGTGTATTTGAATTTTTCACAACAAACATGTATTTATGGATTACATTAAATTTTTAAAGGCCTAATGGAGCCCAGTTAAACCATACTTTTTATCCACTGTCTGCATATTAATCAAAGCTTCTATTGTTTCAAGGAGCTCTAAAAGTCTGTTCAATAATTTCTAATTTTTCCTATTTTGCTTGCCCCATTAATTTATTAAGTAAACTTTTCTGCTCACTTGGAGCATGTTAGTTCCAGTTAATTCATTAGTCAGAAGTATAGCTGAAAGTGGTTTCATACTACAGGTATCCCATTGTTCAAACTGAGGAACTCAAGAGACGGGTAAGTTTTTAGAACTCTTGCTACACACTATCCAAAACACACAAAAAAGTCAAATAGATTTAGATAATGTCCTCTATATCCAAACAGAAATGAATATATTTGGTACCATCTGTATTGCTATCTGGAAACTTGTTTGCAGTAATGTTGCCTTCAGATAAGTGGCTCATAGTCCTGGCCCATCAGAAATCGTGGAATTTAAAAATACACAGGTGCTTAGGCACCAACTCTAAAGATTTTGAGCCTGCACTTTTAAGAGAAAATGCTTTTTTCTAAATCTTGATCAGTGATTATATAAATGTATGTTTAAATAATGACATGACCTTGAGAATTACAGAATAGAGTAATTCAGAATAAAGTTCGGTTTTTTCCCTTGGTGGGGGTGGGAGGGATATTAAAATGATTTTTGATAAGATTCAAAAGCACCAAAAACATTGTAAACAAAACAGTGTTGTTTTGTAGTAGATAATCTTCCTCTGAAGGTCTAAACACACTGATAATATAAGTGCAAAGACTGAAAACAGATAACATGTAATCCTGATGTTTATTTATCAAATTTCATCAGTGGAAGTCTTCGACCGGCTTTTAAAATAAGGGCAGTTTCATTACACTGGCATACTTGGCAAACCACGTAAGTACAGAAACCTTTTCCAAGATTTTAAAAAGGGGGCAACACTGGTCAGCATTTGGTACATGAATATAATATACCTATTGAAAAATTTCCCATTCACCATAAAATTTGGTGGTAATTAGTATAGCTTAAAATGTCTCAATTTTAGAATGTTACGCACAAAAAGGGCCTTATCAAGAACAGAAAAGTGGCATTTTCTGTGTTCAGGCTACAATTTACAACACAACTGTCTTCTGATGTTACATTAAGTAAATTATACTTCAGGCTCTGGAGTATGTGGGGCATAAAACCTGATTAAAGTTTTACATGACAAATCTCAAATGTTTCTTTTAATAAATGGTTCATCAGTATTCTCAGATTCAGTCTAATCATCCAAGAAAAAGTAGTTTCCACTCTTCTTTTGTTCTACATCCTAAAAAATAAAATAGAGAAGCACAAAGGTCAACACCATTCTCCTGTATGTAGGGGGAGTCTTTCACTCACAGTATTACTTGGTGATGTTTATAGTGTACAGCCTCCTCTAGATATACTGTCTGCTTCTAGACATTCCTAGGTTCACTACTTATAGGCAAGATGTACCCTCTGCTACCCAGCCCTATTACCAGAATACCTCCCTTGGTTCACCTCAGGCAAAGCCCCTTTATATAAACTGCCTAACATATATAAAATTTTGCTATATAAAATACTGTTTCCGGGAAAACTATTAAATTCCATTTTATTTTAACTTTAAGCTCCTGGTCCAAAAAGTCCATACTGTCGTCGGTTTGAGAACTGCCTATTAAATAAAATATGTACAAATTTTTATCAGTACCATTTACCAACTGGCCAGTTATAATCTATCCCCATACTCGCCTAGCTGTTCCCTTACTAAGGTTAAAGTATGACTGTCTAAGATGACTGGGCACAGAGAAATGATGAACAGGTGTATCTGGAGACTGAACCGTGAGTTTCTACAAAAGAAAATGACAATATGAAGTATTCATAATGCTCCAGGAAAAATGTTTAGGAAAATTATGCTGTGCATAATAAGTGTTCTAGAATTTAGTTCCTCTTTTCTGCTTAATATGCTTTTCAAACTGAAAAAAACTTTTCACTTTTAAGTCAGAATTTGTCATTTCATTATCCTGGCCAGAGAATAACAAATCATTTATAAACGAAATATATAGTGAAAGCTAAAGGCATCCAAAAATCGTTAGGTGCTTAAGAATACATGATGTGTACGATGGCCTTGTCTTTGCCTTCCAAGAGCTCACAGTTTAGTAGCAAAGCTAGAGGAGTACAAACATGAAAACAACCTAGTAACTGCTAGGTTGTGTAATATACTTGTAAAGCTTCCATTTCGGATGACGGCTAGAGGACCATGAAATGTAAGCAGCATTTTAAGTAGGCGCTGCAGGGGATACTAAAAACACAGAAATAGTTTTCCTAGAGTTTATTCACTTTTTCTTTTTTTAAGCGACCAAGAGATTACTGCCTTCTAAAAACAAACCATATTTCACAGACTACATCAATTATTTTATGTATCACAACGAAAAGCACTGCCAATTAAACTGACAAAATGTTTTTCCATTGTTTAGAATTTTATGCTCACTTGAAGGAGCTTGTTTAGATTCTTAAAATACACATTTTAATCATGTTGCTCTTGTGCATACATAAAAAATACACATGAGAAATTAAGATATTCATAACAACTTATTTTAATAGTAAATTAGTATAATCTGAAGGCATTTTAAATGGCAATTAAACAAAGCAGATCGCAGAACAGTGGGTACAAGTCAGCAATGGTAGCTATGTCATAATTGCTGCCTATAAGACAAGTATGCAATTAGACAGTAAAATGTGAAAAACATGAGTCTCAGATTTAATAATTAATGTAACAGCTTTCCATTGAGAAACATGCCATTCAATTATTTACACTGAAACGTTATCCATGATTTAAGATAGTTTTTCTACATACCTTAATTGAATTGAGTTTGTTTATTCTTGGCCTATAGTTGTTTGGATCTCTTCTGAATGTAATTTCAAGCTGAGACAAAAATTTATTCATGCCAGCCAAAAGCGTTTGAGGACTAAGGGAAAAAATAAGCTCAATTGTGATTAAGATTTACCCTCTAAATTTAACTACTTTTTTGGGATACAGAATATCAAGAATCACTGTTCCCTCTAATTCCCCAATCATCAGTCTTCTGGATAACAAAATAATCACAGCATATTATAAACTCTATGTTCAGAAATGTCTGCTTGGACTATATAGTTTGGCGATAATATTCTTGTGTAAAAACAAACACAGTTTAACCTGTTTCTGATATGGAAAAAGAAACATTTAAGAAGAAAGTACTACTTTAGCAAAACAAAAGACCATTAATTAGGAGAGTACAGAATTTCAAATCTGACATTTTTAGGGGAGAAGAGAATTGAACAGAAAAGATAATATGAATGTTAGAAATTCAGCACTGGAGGGAATTTGAACAACATCATGGTTTTCAGTAATAAGAACTCCTTTTAAAATTCCTATGATTTATTCATCATCTTCATCCAAAATTCTTCAATCATGCCAAGTGACATTATACATGTGAAACATTTTAAGCACTTTGTAAATACAGAGGGGGAGCACCATTATTTGAATAAATAAGCTTTATATCGTCTAGGAATTTCCCTTACTCTCAAAGAAATATGTAATTCTCAATAAATAATATACAAATTTAAAGTGGAAAAAAAAAAGGAATTCTGGGAAGAAGCTCTGTAAAGTACTTTTATTTCTTGGGTGAATTATTCAAACAGCAACTCCATTCCTCAATTTCTAATACCAGAAAACATTATGTTGCAATCATATGAAATTGATGTTTTTATAGGTTGAATATCAACCTATAAATGGTTGAATATCATTAATTCCAATCACTACCATATGGGTTTAGTACCAGAAATATAAGAAATTATTATTACTTTTTAATATTTTTCTTAATTATAAGAAATTAGTCTAAAAACTACTATTCTACCTGGTCTCATCCAGTATTTGATATGGATACTCTGGGAGTCAGTCATTTCTAAAGTTTCTGGCTCGCTCTTTCTTAAAAATTAAAATGGTATGAGTAAGGTTTATAAGCTTATTGGAAAAATTTAAATAATATTTTCTGATTGTTAGAACTTAGTGTTGCATATTTTAGAAAGCAGTCTTACCTGTTTGCAACTGTGTTCTTAGATGGAACACCATCAAAGACAATGACCCGATCTGCCAGATAGGTGGCCATGATGAAGTCATGCTCCACAACGAAGGCTGTCTTCTTAGCATGGAGTATAAAACTAAAACAAAATTTTGAAGAAATCTTTTATAGTTTTATATCATCAAATATTCAAATGCTATATTCAGCACGTTGCATGTCTGTACATATAATCCAAAAGTAATACTCCTACGAGCAGGACGTTACCGTTTGACAACTCGAGCTGCCATCAATCTTTGCTCAGAATCCAAATACGCAGATGGTTCATCAATTAAATAGACATCAGCAGGTTTGCCCAAACAAAGAGCTAAAGCCACTCGCTGCAGCTCACCACCAGATAACGTCTGCACCTATTTGGAGAAGAAGTTTGGCAAACCATGTAGAGACATCCAGTTTAAAATAATAAAATAAAAAAATTAGAGTACCTCTTGATCGATGATGTTTTCAATTTGTAGAGGCTTCATTACATCAGTCACAAATTGTGGATGAGTGTAAGCATCTCTTATCTTTTCATGTAGTAACTGTCGAACACTTCCCTGTTTTTAATGGAAAAAGTATTGACATTTTATTTCAGTATAGAGCTACTGTAATTATAAATTGTTCCAGAGCAAAAGCATATCAATTTGCCACCAACAGGTTTTTTTATGTTTATCCATCATCTATTGCATGTTTTAAGATTTTTAAATTAAAAATCCATCATGTCCAACAAATAAAACAGTAATTTTAAAATATGAAACTAGTGAATGAATGTTTCAGGGGAGAAATCATTTGAATAGGAATAATTCTAAAGGGCAATGTAGGTATCAAGTAACCTTACATAATCAGTAAGATAACACAAAATGCATGATAGAGGTGAATCTTATGATGTTTATTGCTTGTTTTTTTCAGGAGGGCTGAATCTGAGAACTTAAAAGGTAAGTTTATCAGAAAGTATCAATGACAAAATTTTTACTGTAAGCTAAGCCATTTCAAATAGGCCTGCCTGACAAAGTGAGTGTGGAGGTACTGAGTGTAGACACTGTAGTTAAGAAGTTCATTACGCCCGCACAAACTAAAGGAGATTAGTCTCCATGTTTTCAAGGTTCATCCATGTTGTGACATATATCAGTATTTTATTTCTTTTTATGGCTGAACAACATTAGATTTTATAGATATAAATATCGATTCATCAGCTGATGGACATTTGGATCATTTTCCACATTTTGGCTATTATAAATAATGTATTTGTATGCAAGTTTTTGTGTTGATAGTCTTCATGTCCCTTCGGTATATATCTAGGAGTGGAAATGCTGTTTCACATGTAAGTATGTTTAATTGTCTGAGATTTTTCAAAGTGGCTCTACCATTTTACATTCCCACCAGCAATGTATGAAGTTCCTTATCTCTACATTTTATCAATACTCGTTACTGTCTTTTTGATTTAGGTCATCCCAGTGGGTGTGAAGTGGTTATCTCCTTGTGGTTTAAATCTGCATTTCCTTAATGACTAATCATGCTGAGTATCTCTTCCTGTGCTTACAGGAAAAAACGTCTATTCGAATCCTTTACCCATTTTTAATCTGAGCTGTGAGAGCGCTTTATATATTCTGAATACAAGTACCTTATTAGATACATAATTTGCAAATATTTTCTCCTATCCTGTGGGTGGTCTTTTTACTTTCTTGATGGTGCCATTTGCAGCACAAAACACATTAGGTTTTTAAAGGTTTATTTTGGGAAAAGATGCCAATCACATTTTAAAAGCATTTTCCTAGTAGTGGAAATGAATAAAAGACTGTAGTCTTAATAAATTCTTTAGCCACTTTTGATAAAACTATACAGAAACTAATTTAGAGAAGAATTCTGATATAGTGAAAGATTAAAGTTATAGATATGTATGTATGTGTGTGCATATGGGCACAAACTTTAATACTCAAATAACAATAAAACTCACAGTTGATTTGGGACTGATTTTCTGTGGCTTATAACTGACATTTAGAACAGGTACTTCTCCTGCAAAATAATGCAAATAAATAAGACACAGTAAACTTTAAAGATCTGGGCAGTTTTCAATGTAGAACAAAAAGACTCAATATCACAACAGTACCTCCTTCATCGGGTTTCAGTCTTCCAGCGAGCATTCTGATAAAGGTTGTTTTACCAGTCCCTGGCAACATAACACACAACAATCAGTCCTAAAAGATGCTTCACATTTGGAGTAGATTTACTCCAAATGTACTACTAGACTTTAATGGAGAAATTAGTTTTAAGATAACCACACTGACACTACTGAATTCTAAAGGTTATACAAAAAAAAAACTTTCATGATTCACCTTCTCAAGTATCATTCTAAACTAATTAGGAGGAATATAAACTAGTTAAAGCTTATAATGACCATTTAAATAAATGGTAGACCTATAAGGTGTAAGACGAGTTATTTTTTAAAAGACATATTTAAAATATCAATACACACAATTTATTAAGATACTATAGTACTATCTTATGATTGATATCATCATGAAGTCCATTTCCATGAAATATTTAATTGCGACCCAGCTCAAAATTCTTCCATTAACTAAAGACTGATACATTGCAGCAGTCTTATAAAAAATTTTTCTTCTACAGTTTTGTAAGTCGTAAGTACATACACTTCAATTTTTTTTAAAATCATAAAAGCAATGCCAAATATTTGGTACTCAAATTCATTTCATAATTATATTTATGACAATCTAATATTAAACGATGCTGATAATATAATTATTTACAAAGAAAGACTATTTTGAATTTAAAATAAGAAAAGTTCCAAATAAAAGTGCATTTAAACTAGATTACTTCTGAATTACCAATTTATCTTTCCTAGTCAGTTTCCAAGATGAATCAATGCCCTTTCAATTTATACATAGAAAAAACAGCTTAAAAAAACTGTATTTTTACTGAAGGTTATGAAACAAAATAAGAAATATGAACTTGATTGAATGACACTGAGGTTAAATCATACAATGTTACAAAATGTGAACTATACTGAGAAATGTACGATTCAATCCAGGTCCCAGACCTATAACCAAGTCAAAGTTTTCCATGGAGTAGTTAAAACTAAGTTACTAGGTAAACAGAAGAGACTTTCAAATATCACAAAATAAGGAAAACTTACCATTTTCTCCCAACATTACCATAATTTCAGAATCTGTGAACTCTCCAGCTACAATTGCTAGCTCAAACTCTCCCATCTTTTTCTTCATTCCGGGATATTTATACATACACATCTTTTTAACCTCCTCTTCATTTGCTGTCTCAGCCACTTTAAAAACAAGTGATGCATCTCTGAATCTCAAATTTTCTGTTGGAACGTAGCCATCCAAAAAAATGTTTATGCCTGTTGAAAAGTCATTGACAATAGATTAGTAAAGATAATTAAAGACTATATTTTTTTCAGAGCAAAAAATTACTACATAAAAGCCCAAACCCTAGGTTCTCTTCGGAGCAATCTAAGCATAGATTTTAAATTTTTGTGGATTTATAACATGCAGTGACAACATGGTGTTTCACTGTATCTAATGCAAGTTTACATAATTCATGCATATATATGTGCCCATGTATATACAGATATGAAGCACATCTTTTCATTATGATGTGATTTTTATATAAGGTTTTTTCCATGAGGTTTTATGCAACAGCATATGATGCCGCATCTGCTGTGTTTAAAAACTAAACATTTTTTCTCTAAAAATGACAAGTAGTAAAAATAGGATATTTTCATAGATTGACAAAATAATATGAAATAGTTTGGGGAATCATTTTTTAAATAATTTAAATTATGCGCATATGTTTTCAAATGACCAATCATGTACTAAAAGTTACAATGTAGTGCATTTTCTTTCCAATTAGTTTTGTAGGTTCTAAGAAATTTATAATGAACTTCATTTGATTTTTTTTGCTTCACTATACAAAGGTAAACACCATTATCTAAACGAAGTTTAATAACTGAAAGTAAATTAACATATTATTCACAAGATGCCCTCCATACTAAAGTTCTATAACGGCAGACACACAGAAATGAAAAACTGCATTATTCAGGAAGCAGTGAAAAGATGTTTTTCAGTGTTTCCTATATGTAAAAGAAATTTTGGAAGTCTTGAAAGAAAGTCTAAGAACGTTATTCATTTCGTTTGAAACTGAGAGCCACATCGGGGGTCCTGTATCCTCAGCTTAGAATATAAGTGGTTCAATAAATATTTGCTGACAGGACAAATGGATATATTTATTCTGCCAAGAGCAGCATTTTTAAAATCTTCAACTATTTGAAAACTATATATGTGAGGTTAAAGATTAATACCAAAGATTAAATAAAAACAAACTTGAAAGAACCATTTAGTCCGAGTGCATAATTTATCAGGTAAGGAAATGAAGGCTCAGAGAAATAAGTGACCTTTAGCAAAAAGCATTAAGTTAACTTAGCCTTTACATTGTTGTTAATTTAAAAATGAGTCCAAGCTCTTAACCGCCTTTACAGTTCAGAAAGAGCTTTTACATATACTGTCTTACTTTCAGTATGTTAAAAGAAAGCAGAATGATTAAGTGGTTTGTTACTTGAATTGTTTTAACAGAAGAGGTACATTAAAAACCTCACCGGGAACCATTTTGCCAATGACATAGCCTTCAGACGTGGCATTTATAAATAGAAAAATGAAGACTGCCAGATATCCACACCATTAACAAGATTCTACAACTGTTACTACTATATGGAATAGAGAGGGACTCAATAAATACTTGCTGAGGCAAATAAAACATAATTAATAAGTTTATTTGATATCTCTTAAGACTACTGGAAACAGAACTGGGCAATCTCACAAATTTTTCCTTAAAATATGTATCTATTTATCTCAACGTACAAGAAAATAATAAGTAATAGCAATCCCTTCCCCAAATCTTAAATATGTACTTTTTAAAAATTAAAAAAGCTACGATAGCCTATTTAGGCCAAGTGTATGATGCAATATAAAAGCAAGAAAGCAGTGAAAGGAAATGGGAAAGAAATTAAAAGGAAAAAGGCATACTGGATGGAGTGAGTGCACTGGTATTTGTGTCAGGAGCCACTTAAGTGGTGGGCTAGTTTTTACTTTTGTCCAACTTGCTTAGGGAGGGAAGAGACACACACAGAAAAGAGAGGCCAGAAAGTCCCTTTTTCCTGAAAGTAGAAGGAATACATAAAAATATACTTACTACACTATTTTATTAGATTTTAGTCACTTATTAAACTATAATATGTCTACTAAACTCTCTTATTTGAATATACTTACTAAATTACCTTATTAAGACTTTCATTCTTAGTTCTATGAACTTAGGATACACATAAATTTGAAACATGAAAACGAGATGAGCACTAAATAAATTTTAAGTGTTTCACTACTGGTGCTGGCCTGTCAAAGATAAAGTTGAAGATGATAAACACTACAATGATGCGGTAAGAAGCCAAAAAATAAAACTTTAATATAGCAAATAAATAATAAAACTGATGGAGCATTTCTACCTTCCCCAACAGAAAATTCTCCAAAAAGAAATATGTTTTGTATAACTGATGTATATAACCTTATAAATACATTTTGTCGAGTGATTAAATTCCATAAGAACAAAATTTTAGATAAATAACAGAGTGACATAGAACTACTTAATATCAACAATACATTTTCTAAGCATTAAAATAAAAAAAAGCATTGTAAAGTTTTTCGAGTTACCTTCTCTTACACTAAAAGGCATAGTGACAACACCGTAAGCACTTGGTACGCCATATAAACAGCAGATGAAGTCAGAGAGATAGTCTAACACACTTAGATCATGTTCCACCACAATGATATATCTGAAAGTAAATACAAATTTTTAAATGAAACGTAACATATATAATAAAATTAAAACTATGATTATTATTGCTACATAACTTTTTTACTAGTGTAAATTTCAGGAAAATATATATTTAAAAAAAATTAAGTGTAAAGACCATATTAAACAAAAGCCATTAAATAAGATTCATTATCAATGTTTCTATTTCACATCGTTTTCCTAAACTAAAAGAAACAGTTAACATGAAATAGTTTATGGATATATGAAATAAATGCTTTGCTATAAAGAATGTATTTTTAAAGAAACTTCACAAAGCAGAAACAATTATGAGATTTAAGTAGTCAGGATGCAGATATACATCCCCTAACTTTTTATCAATCTATCACTACAGATTATTTTAACTCTAAGACCTAATACATTTGTGAAAAGTCTAACTCAATCATTTCCTTCACTTTGTCGGACTAATCTGTTTTGACATGTATCCTTATTATAATTAAGGTTTCTACCCTTTCACAATATAAGACTGTAGTGATTTGCCTGAACATATACTAACCGACGTATATGCTACCTGGTTGTAAATCACTCTTTTCGTTCTATTAATAATAATAAAAAAATTAACTGTGAAGGTATATGACTTTCATTTCAGTATAATAAAGGGGTATAAAAATATCTGATAAAAAAGAGCTGGAGTTTAGAACTGCTGACCTAACTGCTTGTGGAATCTTTTCTTTACCAGACAGTGAAGTCCTTAAACACTGGGGCTATATTTCATACTCTTACATTCCCCAAAAAGCCTATCATAATGTCGAGGCCTATGTATGAAGTGAAAATTATGGCTACTACTTGACCCAACGAAGATTGTTTCTTTATAATTTATAGTCTCAGTTTCACTTCAAAGTATGTGGATCATTTGCTTCTTGAAACTAAGAAGTCAAATTTCTCAGTTCTGAAAAATTCTCAGCCATGATCTTTTCTTGGCTTTATTTTTCAGACTTCTATTAAAATATACATAAATAGTCTCCTCATTCCATTCTCCATGTCTCTGAACCTTCTTTATGGATTTCAATCTCAATCTCTCTCTGCTGTATTCTGGAAACTTGCTCAGATTAACTGTTCGAGTTTCTAATGCTCTTTTCAGTTGTCTCTAACCTGTTTAATCTGTCCGGTGAGTTTTCAATGTTATGACTATATTTCTAGATTTGAGTTTTTTGAACATTTACCTATTTTTTGTACTGTGATATTTTCAAGGTTTTTGAATCCTTTGTTTATGCTTTTAATTATTTTAAATATTATTTATAGTCTCTTTGATAAATCGCCTGAAATTTCCTAAAGGTCTAATCTTGCTGTCTGTTGTGCCTACTGACTCGTTTGTGGATGGTTTCCTCCTGTCATCTATAACCCTAGATTTGAGCTCATGAATCTTAACCTGTAGGAATCTGTGTAACTGGGGTTGAGTGGTTTTATATTTGCTTCTGCTAAGGTACCACAGACTAAAGATTCTAGGACCCTCTTATTATTTTACTTTCTTACCGTGGAAGGTTCTTACTCTCCTGATTATATAAATTTTAATTCCATATTCATGTGAGTTGCTGGTCCATGAATAGATTTGAAGGGGAGCCATCCCTCTACTCCCTGCGAGCTCAGTGAGTGACAGATATATGCTTCCTCGAAATCTTCATGTGCTTGCCCTTTTGCTGAGCAAGCAGTCCTCTGAGAGTCCTGGCATTTTATGTGTCATAATCCAATACAAGGGCTTGCTTCATCCCCACAAGAGGTTGTTAAAGCCCCAGATCTATTAGAGAGACCCTCTAGAAAGCCATGTTCTTGTCTCTTCTCTTTAATTTATAATTCTTTTTTTGGTTTCTGATCCCTAGGGATTTCTCTTGCTTTCTTGTAAGATTAGCTGTGTATTAAATCAGTCACTAAGGAGAGGCAAAGAAAATGTACAGAAAAATACCCCAGGGTTCTAGTCATGGCTTTGCCATGTAGTAAATCTGTAACCTAGAATAAGTAACTAGCTTTTCTGACCTTAAAATTCTGCATCTGCAAATGAAAATACCACCTGAATAGTCTAATTTAGAAGATTACTATGAAGCTCAAATGAGATAAGATTTAAAACTGTGCAAACTACAAAACCACCTCATTAATACAGGGTGTTGTGATTATTTAACAGAAGTTAAGAACTCTTGTGCTTGGTAAGACCCTGAACACCTAGAATTATTCTAGTGACCCATATAATGTTCTACTATTTCTGTGTTTGAATGACACATTTATTTGAGGATCTGGTAAAAGCTAAGGATCTGCTTCCCAGAAATCCATTCATATACACCAGAATTTGCTTATCATTTCAAAGCATTCCTAGTGCCCTGCAAATGAGCATGGTAGTAAATGAATCTTGTATTAAGAACCTCTGTTCTAGACAGAGGAAGCTAAGTGGTAGCTCAAATAACCCAAATGGAAAACATGCACATGTAATGACACTGATGGTCTCAGTGTTTAATCTTCAGAAATCCGAAAAACTTGCCAAACAAAATAACAAAGACATATGCCAAATCTGTACTCACCTATCTGGATTTATTAGAGATCGTATAGTAATAGCAGCCTTTAAACGCTGCTTGACATCTAGGTAACTAGAAGGTTCATCAAACATGAAACTATGAAAAAGAAAAGCAAATATAATAATTTAAAAGACAAATATGACATAGTCATATCTTGCATTTTATTTTAAAGCACTGTAATATAATTTCCAATTTAACAACAAAAATCCCCTCCGTATCCTAATGAGGAGTCCCCCATCATGGTAAAAACTTCTATATTCTGTTCAGAAGTAGAAGAAAAGAAATTATGAAAAGCAGGACTGCATATCAAGTCTGGGGACAGACTCCCAGATTCAGCTAACTTACAAGTTGTTAACTTCTCATGAAAAATATTCTGATATACTCTGAGGTAATTCAGAGACCTTTACTCTTGTCTTGATTAGCTAAAGTCACTTGCATTAGAGCAAATAGATTTTGGAAAAGAGGGCAGTGCACGGAACTATAGAATACTTTGTGGACAAGAGCTAGTTGTTTCAGATGACAGAGGAGAAATGTGGAAGATGAGAGCAGTTAGTATCTGGGAGAAGAGAGGCAAGAGAATGGAGGAAGGAAACTTGCCCTTTTCACTTCTCCTCTCGCTCTCACATGGCACGCGCCATCCTGATTTAAATAACTTAAAAGACCTTAAGTTCTACTTGAGATACTTAAAAAAACTTGCTGGCTTTGAATAATTTGTCTTAAAAATTATTCCTCTTATGAATCGAGAGAGTAAATAATAAACAACTTACTTTACATTGAAAAGGTCTGGAACCCATAAATTGTAAAGTACTTATCTAAATAAATAAGTTTTTCCTCCCGCAGAACTAATAGAATGGGCAATAGATGTACAATTGCTTCAACATCTTACCTCAAAATTAAAATCGTATACTACTTCTATTAATTTCTCTCAAAATCACTGCTTTATTAGCAGCATTACAAATAACAACTCTAAAATAAGGACTGAGACATAAAAAAGGTATAAATTAACCTACATATCAGCTTTCTGTATGCAAACGACAGCACAAGCAAATCTCTGCAATTCTCCTCCTGAAAGATCTTCCACATTTCGTTCTTTTAGATGAGTTAAATCTACAAAGAACATGGAAACATTGTGTTTAACATTATATATTTTATTTCACCTCTTCTAAGCAAAATATATATTGCATGTCATTCTGAGTTTGAATATTTCATTTGAAGATTATGTTAACAAAAAGTAAATAAGACTAGTACTAGAGATTTCTCCATTTATTTTAGTAATCCATATAAAGATATCTATCTATGAGTTAAGTTCAAGGCCTACTAAAACACATACACAAGAAAACACTTACCCAGCTGTTGACATACAATTGCTTGTGTCTTTGTTTCATCCTTTCTATCCAAAATAGAACCCACTGTCCCCTGTCATAATATACCAAAAACAGTTATTACTATTTCTTTCAATATTAGTTACAAAGTAAAACAAGTTGAATTTGATATATCTTTTATCAATATCTATAAAACATAAGTCCCTCCTAAAAAGCAACTGACCTTTGCAGCCTTGGGAATCTGGTCTACATACTGAGGTTTGATAATAGCTTTTAGGTCATCTTCTAGAATCTTGGTAAAGTAATTTTGCAATTCAGATCCACGGAAGTAAGTCAAAATTTCTTGCCAATCAGGTGGATCCTAGAAATACATGTATAATGATCTGAATTTAATTTAATGATACAACTGCAAGAGGGTGACTATTACACAAAATAGAACATATATCCAAACAGAATACTTCTGGCTTCTAACAATCTTAAGATTGAAGTGGATTAAATTTTAAATCAAGACATACCAACTCATAACAGTTTAAAGAAGCTCAGCATAATCAGTTAAGCAGCATCAACAGATTTAAAAAAAAAAAAAGGAGTTTCATTTGTATATAGTTTCTCAGCATTAATTCCATGAATAATCTTGGGGAAAAAAAAATCACACACACACTATCCTTTAGCCTCATAAAACCGACCTATATACTCATTTTTATAAGGTAGTAATACATACATCATACTTTCCAAGGTTTGGCTTTTGTTTTCCTGCTAAAATTTTTAAAGCAGTTGACTTTCCAATACCATTAGTTCCAACTAATCCCAAAACTTCACCTGGACGAGGGATAGGCAACCTGTCATTAAGTATACAAAAATAATAAAACTCAGACTTAGGTAGAAAAAGCTACATATCAGAATGATGTATTTTAATGCACTTGCACGCCACACACATCCATTAAGCTAAGAGATATATGCCAGATATTATTGGCTATTAGAAAAAAATCCAGCCAAGATTAAACTGTTAATCGTTAGAAATGTATCTATGACAATATTACTCCAAGTTTTATACATTCAATTTTCATTCAGTCTGTTCTAAAGTAACAATTCTTTACATCTAAGGCTCAGCTTAAAACAAAAATGCTTTGGTAAAAAATTACATAGCAGGTGCAACCTCACACTTTTTTTTTGCCTGCCATTTACTTACAAGGAGAGAAGTGCCACATCAACCAGAAATTTTCCACTTCATTCTCCCTGATGCAGTAGGCCCCTTAAAGCTGGCAGGTTGAGAAATACCTTTTTATTAGTTCAATCTACACTCCCAAGTTCAGTAT